AGTGTCTGATGGGAAGAATTCACATGTGAGCCTGCAACACAGTTGATTTGGGATAAATGCTGTAGATACTCTCTACATTTCACTACATTGGTGGTTTGAGAAACTGATATATAAAGTGCTTTGCAATAAAGCTGCAACATTTTTTCTTTTTAAATTAGTTGCAAATTCATTTGATAGTCGATTCACTGGTTTTAGTAACTTGTAAATTCTCTTATCCTAGCTTCATAAATGTGAGTATTTTCTTCACTCCTCTATGACAGTACACTGAATAGCTTTGGGTGGAGGGCAAAACAAGAAATTTGAGTTTCTTTACAGACCAAACAACTAATTATCAATTGAGAAAATCATCGACAGATTAATTAAGAATGAATATAATCATTAGTTGCAGTCCTGCTTTGCTATAAGAACAAAAGGTGTTGAAGTGGAAACTCGTCAAGCAATGTGATAAGTGATGACAGAGTATCATCATCATCATCACCATTATTCAGTCATCCTCAGACGAGCCCTAGATCGGCATCTCCAGTCATCTCGACCCTCCATGCATCTGGCTAGTTTGCCAGTGCATTCTGCTCCTGCATCTTTCTTTAGGACATCCACATATGTTGACATGGGACGTCCTTGTGAACGATGTCCATGTGTTGACTCCCACAGCACTAGTTTGCTGGCTGGGAACTTCTGGTGTCTCTATCAGTGACCGGCCAGTCTCATTCTCCTGGATGCTATTTTCTTGCTCACCCTACACAGGTCTCTGTATCGATTCTTGATAATGCCATGGATACCCTGGTTGATGTTCAGTACTGCAAACAGCATTCTGCCGTAGCATTTATCCAGGGTCCTCTCCAGCATTCACCTCCATATAGCAGAATGGACTCTATGGTTGCATAGAAGAAGCTGAGCTTGGTATGTCGGGAGAGGCTGGACTTCCACATACTGGTCATACAGTTCAGAGCCTTCCACACTACAGCCCTCCTAATGTCCTGCTCTGTTGAGTTGATCCATGAGTCGAGGTATTTAAAGTCACTGACTTCTTTTAGAGCACCATTTGATGTCCTTAGAGGAGGATGACCTCGGTTTTCTTGGCATTTCGCCTGAGGACCAACCTTGGCACACTCTGTCTACACTCTAGTCAAAAGCTCCTGTGCACAGATAGCAGGCTGATGTCATCTACATAGTTCAGGTCTGTTAGGACTACTGCAAGGAGGGCACAGACCTCCTTAGTGCTCAAATGAGTCCGAGTTCCTGCTCGTGTCCACTGATGGCCCGCCATGAGTGCATAGTCCAGGACTACAACGAAGAGGAAGGGGGCGAGGGTATCTCCTTGCAACACTCCTGCCTGGATGTCAAACTGCTCACCGTTGCCATCTGGGGTCACAACCTTTGCTCTTATACTCACGTACATGGTCCCTATGGCCCAGATTAGGTTGGGAACGACACCGCAGGCCTTGAGTATCCTCATCATTACGCATCTGTGTATCAAGTCAGATGCCTTTTTGAAGTCGACAAAACACAGGACTGCTGTCAGGTTGTTCTTTTTCACCTCCCCGATGATTCTCCTCAAGGCCAAGATCTGGGTTGCAGTGGCTCTCCCCTCTCTGAAGCCATTTTGGTTCTCTCTCAGGTGAAGGTCAATGGTGCATCTGGTTTAGTATCTGCGGTTGTACATCTTTGCAATGATACATGTTAGACTGATGCCACGATAGTTGTCAGGTTTTGAAAGACCTCCAGCTTTAGGAACTGGGATGATGCTGGTGAGAGACCACATATCAGGCCTGTAGTTTATCAGCAGAGTAAGGTTACAAATATCCAGGATGATGTCATTAAAATCACAGCTCTTAAAGACCTCAGGTAGAGTGCTATCCAGCCCAGTATCTTGATGTTTTCAATGCTTAGAAACTATTTTCCTCCTATAAAATGTGTTTTGTTAGCACAGAGCGACTGAAATTGGAGCTGACACAAACTTTGAACAACCATGGAGACATTGTTTGCACATTTATAAACTATAGACCGTCTTTTCTGCAGCACAAATGTTCGCCGCTGTTGCACAACCTCTCAGTGCTTTCCTTAAATATCTGAGCAATCTCTAAATTTCCACGCCTGGTGTGAAAATGCTTGAGAACATAAACGTCTAAAAGTGAAGTTTAAGTGTGTCTTTTAAGCTGTTTTGGACATTCTTTTGCGGTGACGACATGACACAGGGGAAATAGCTCTCCTTTAATTGGGGACTAGACGGGTTTGCTTGACAGAAAGAAATACCACCAGGGGTATATTTCCCAGTGAAAGCTAGGAATGAGGAGCCACACTGCGAGTAACTACTCCTGGAGGGGAACATGAGTCACACAGAGACCTATATATATTTGTTTTCTCCTGCAGCACTGGTGGTACCATCATCTGGCAAGATAAAACATCATAAATCTTTCCGTTATGATTTTTGTCATTGTTGTCGTGACAGACGAGACTAGCAGCAAGAATAATGAGATTATAATCTGTCATCCCTCTCTGCTCCGCTGAGCACATAGATTTGACTTGAGTAATGCCACCATAGAACACAGGGATATAGGAGAAATTGATGATGGCAAGAGAAGGGTAAAGATGCAAGTTACAAAAACAAAACTGCAATTCTTACCCAAAAGCAAAAAGAGCAGGGTGAGGAACAAAATGATGAAGAGAAGGAGAAAGAGATAGAGAAGCAGAGTGGGGAGGAGAAAGAGAAAGACAGACATATGGATGTAATTGAGGGCCTATGAAGTGATGATGTCATCTCACAGTCAGGTTATCAGGCCTCAGGCAAGGCAGCTACAACTCACAAAACATGTCTCTCTTCTTGAAACACATGGGAACACCACACACACACACACACACACACACACACATACACACACACAGAGTACAGTATGCATGAGCTACAGTTCCTATGTCATGCCAAGTTAGGCCTAGCACTTATGCAGGCATGGTTAACATGTTTGCTCAGGCTAATCCTGCAAACTGAGTGTTAGCCTCTCTCGTTTGAATTGTGATTAAAGCTTTAGCTTTCTTCGCACACTCACACACATACACAAACACATTCTGTCCTTCCCATTAGCCTCTTTGGCATGGCTACACAATGACCTCATCTGGAATGGGCTGAACTCCAGTAAAAACACACACACATATATATACACACACACACACACACACACACACACACACACTTGAACACACACACACACACACTGAGCAGTAGAGCCTGTACAGTCCCATATAAGGACTTGCTGATGATGTAATGGGCGCCACTGACTGCGAGTGAGACTCAGTGTGCAGAGCACTTCTCATAATGTTTGGTTTTCCGGATGGAATGTCCACATCACTGGGATCTCCGGGAAAGGGAGAGGTGAAGAAGTAGAGGCGATTTATTCTCCGAGGATTTTACAGGACAGAGGCCAACGGCGCTGCACAGCACAGGTAGGAACAGTCACAAGTCTTGTGAACAGCGGGGAAGATATAACAAGCATTTAGAAACATGTGACACTTTAAAAAATGGTTTTTAACCGCAAGATGCTTTTCGGGTAAAGTAAGTGGTGTCCAGCTCTGCATAGATCCGACAGAACAAAACCAAGTTGAGAACAAGTAACAGTGCACTTGAAAAAGTAAATTTAAAAGCAATGAATTAAGTCTCACTGAAACTTCTACACTGAAAATTTAATTCCGAAGTCATAACTGTTTGAGACTCTTTGTCTGTCCAAAAGAAGCATTACTGACAAGACAATACAACTAAAAGTGAGACCATTTAAAAACCAATCTTGACGTTAGGTAGTGTAGCCTGTTAATCTATGTTTTAGAGCAACATACCATCAATTTTCAGACCAGCGATCAATTCCATTCGGAGACGTTCAGCTCTTTGTTAATTTAATCCATCCACCCACACATGCATGCATATTATAGCTATTGTTGATATTTACCTCAGTAGCAAAAGTGCAAAAGCTCTAAATGTTACATTTATAGACCCTGTTCTCTGGGGAAAAAACCCTTAAACACAATGTGCATACTAATATTTTACACTTAACATCAGCTATCACAAATCAATAGTTTTCCACAAAACATACTTTATTGGCAAATGATTAAAAAGGGAAAGAAAAAAGGCCTTGGGAACATTTTCTACATTGAAAAAACAAGCTTCTAAGCATGTAGATCTGATTATTAATCCAAGTAGACATGAATGTCTGCATTCTGGATACCTCCAGTATGCAACACACACACACACACACACACACACACACACACACACACACACACACACAAGAGACTTATTCTGAAGCGTAAATTTCGACTGGTGAGAGATCACTTTCAACTATGCCAAGGTTGCAATAACACATGACATGAAATGTACTGTGTGCATTAAGTGCATTTCTGCATTGCTGGTATGCATCTAGGGAAATGCGGGGAGCGACAGCACTTGGTAAATGTGGCCCGTCTGTAATTACTTATGGAACAGGGGGGAATTCCTGCCTCTCCTAGCTGGAAACGGGGTAGCACTGGAGGTGCACAGAAGGAGGGTGATTGGGTGCAGTGTCGAGGGTACTCAAGGGTAGAGGAACTTCTTAATTAACAAATGCTCCCTGCCAAGGGACCATCTGCCGTGATAGTCTAAACATCCAAGAGACCGCATGCTGCCTGGAGAAACGTGCAAAACAACATGGAATTACATGAACTCTACATGTTTTGGAGTTTGAAGTAGGGACACTCAGAGAGATGTAGAAAACAGAAAAGAGTAGGCCTATTACAAGCTTCTGGAGAAGTTTGAGCAGGGAGGAAATTTTATTTAAATTCATCCGAAAATTTAAATAAATGTTTATGCTGGATATAAACAACTTAAGAAATCAATTGTGTTTAAAAGTTGTGGCCAAGAGGTTAACTATAAACACAATTAAGTGTCCTTGGAGGCTGAAATACGAGTAAATTACACAGTAAACCAGGCCACGACATAAGTTTGACATTAGCGTAATTTGTTTTGTTTTTCTCTACAGACTCAAGCTGCTGATTGTAAAGGAGAGAGAATACCAAGAGATAAAGGAGAAGAAACGTGAAAGAGAAATATCAACTCTAAAGGACGAGCTGACCAAGCTGAAGGGTTTTGCGCTGCTGGTTGTAAAGGAGCAAGAGTGTCTGAGTGAGCTGCTGGAGGAGGAGAGGGGTCGCATCCAAGAACTGACCGCCATCACTGACCACATCAAACAGGAGGTCAGTGCCGCTAACCCCGGCACAAAGAAGGAGGAGCACATATCTCTGCACCATAATCAAGTTTCCATCGTCCACCAAAGCCAGAGCACCATGACAGCCCCAAGCCTGCTGTCAGAGGTCGAGGTACTGAGGAGAAGAGTCGTGGAAATGGAGGGAAAGGATGAGGAGCTGATACGCATGTGGGAACAGTGCCGAGATCTGGATCGCAGACTGGCGAGGGAGACCAGCCACTGCCGTAGCTTAAAAGTTGAGGTGGATAAACTCAATGGGAGGATTAGTGAATTGGACAGGTTAGAGGACGCTTTAGGTAAGAGCAAACAGGACTGCAGTATTCTGAAGGGCAGCTTGGAGCGAGAGAAAGAGGTGAGCAAGTTACTGTCTGGTGAGCTCAACACTCTGAAAGTTAGGGTGAGAGAGCTGGAGGCCAACGAAGGCCAACTGGAAAAGAGTGAGGCGGTGATTAGGCAGGACCTGGCCAAGCTCAGGTCACTGACTGTAGCTTTGGTGGAGGACAGAAAGACCATGGCCGAGAGGCTCAGACAGGCTGAGGAAAAACTCAACAGGAAGGAAGGCAAAAGAAATGAGCAAAGCAATTTGGCAACGATGACAGAGAGACTGAGAGAGGAGAGGCAGCAGGCACTGAGGTGTAAGGTAGATTTAGAGGAAAGGATTAAGGGCATAACAAAGGAAAAACATGAGCTCCAAGACAGACTGAAAACAGAGGAGGAAAGGAACGGAGAGCTACAGAGTAAAATAACCATAATGAAGAAACGGTTGCAAGTCTTAGAAAACAGGAGAGAAAAAGAGGAGAAGTACACATACAGCTCTATTCCCAACAACCATCACTGCCAAACAGAGGACAACAAAGTAAAAGAACTGACAAGAGAGCTAGATGGACTGCGAAAGAGACTACAGGACAAGGAGGTGCTGGAGGAAGAGCTGATGAAGGTGGAGGAGGACTTTGAGTCCCTACAAAAGAGGTTCAAGGACGAACAGAGGAGGACTCAGGCTCTAACAGAGGAGCTAGAGGCCGCAAAGAGAGAACTCTCCAGATACGAGCAGGCAGAGAAGCAGGAGGTCAACCAGGAGCACCTTCTCCTATGCCGTCTTCAGAAAGAGCAGGTTAAGTCCAGACTATTAGGCAGAGAGGTGGATGCCCTGAAGGAGAAACTGCAGAAGCTGATGGGAACTGAGGAGTCCATCTGCAGGGTTCAGACGGATCACTCCGTGTTGCAGAGAAAGCTGACCCAGCAGGAAGCCAGTAACAGAGAGCTGGCCAGAGAGATGAAGGAGCTGAGTAGTGAGCTAGACAGGCACAGACGAATCAAGAATCTCACACCTGGTGCAAACAGACAACTTTTTTCAGACCTTCATCAGACCACCAAAGAGGTTCAGACTGAGCCAGCAGATAGCCTGCCTCCTGACTACAGCGAGAAACTCGATAAAGAAATTGAGGATGAGGATCCAAACCACAATGCAGAAGTCATAAACAGGAGAAGCTCTCTTGTCAACAATCTGAACAGCTTAAACAGCGCAAATAATAACGTCAGCCAGTACAGCAGTCATTCAGCCAATGGTGTAGATATGCACCAAACGGTTAACGGAGAGGTGATGTTAACGCACACACCGGGGCAGCCCTTGCACATCAAAGTAACACCACATCATATACTCAACACAGCCATGCTGGAGATCAGCAGCCCCACTGGAGACGCAGCTACGTCCTACACCAGCACAGCTGTCATCCCAACAAGCGGGGCCTCACCTAAACAGAGAATAACCATCATCCAGAACTCAGCTCTGTCTGCAGTTAATTCCAAAACCCCACCTTCAAGTCCTGACCGCACCATCTCCCCACTTGACAGCACACCCATCTCTCAGGTGATGAGCCCAAACTCATCGCGCTCTGCAACACCCGACCACAGCTCCCCCATTCAGATAGTCACAGTCCGGACCTGTTCTCCAGAGCCAGCAGAGGCCGCGCATCAGACCGTCTTCTGCAAGACGCCGGAGCGACAGAACAGCTGGCAACATCAGAGGTCCAACAGCACCGACTCAAGCCCAAGCATCATTGCCACGGAGGATAACAAGATCCACATCCATCTGGGGAGCCCCTATATCCAGTCTCTGAATGGTATGACCCACAGCATCCCACAGCCTGTTGGGCCATACTATGTCCGACATGAACAAAGGACTCAAGTGCTCGCCAACGGCTGTCATGTCAAAGGTGTTGGCAAGATTACAAGTAGCATCACTATATCCCCTGCTACCTCTGCAGCTTCACAATCCTCTAATATAACAGTAAGTGGCCTTTGTGATTAGATGAAGATGTATTCTGAACATATATATTATCATGTTTCACTCACATTCATGGACAGAAGCACTTCCTCTAACGAGCACCCAGAGTTTGTTGTATTTTGCCATAATCACCAAATAAAAGCTTTGTGGTATTTGTCCTATTAGAGCCTTTGTAAAGCCGACTTGATCTAGCGTGTGTCCATAGACTTACAGCTTAAACAACCCTTTAAATATTGACTGTACAACATGTGTGTGTAGTGTTTGTGCGAGAGCTAAGTGAGACAATAGGTTCGTTCGAGATGAGCCAGTCCTGCGCAGATTCGATCACCGGCGATCGGCGCACAATGCATGCCGGTTAGTTTTTTGTGTCCGACTTCATCCTGACTTGCTCTGACGTATTACAAAAGTGGACGTCGATAAAGCCACGAGAGCGAGGCGGCCACAGTTTTTAGAGCCAGGCGCTGCAGTTGCTCTCCACCGACTGCACCGCCTGGCTCTCACCTGATCTAACAGCTGATTGGTTTAGACATCGACTCAACAAGATGACGTTTTAGATAAACTACTCATTTTTGTTGAATTCTAGAGATTAAGATTGTATTTGTCTGATCTGAAGGTTTATTCTGTGAACAGAAAACATGTTGTGTGACTGATGGTGAAAACAAACCGATATATGGATCTGATCACTTTTTTAATGAACTGACATCATTCCAGACAGGATGTAAGTGTGTCTGTGACTTCCTGCACGGACTGAAGGCTGCTGGAAACTGTCGGGAAACTGTCCGACTTCACCGCAGCTTTTTGTCACCGCCCCCCACTGCGGCCGCCTGCTCTCGTCTACTTTTCAGGCGAGGCGCAGTTCATCTCGAACGAGCCTATCATCGCAATCAAATGTGTGATGTGCTTTTTTACAGTTTTCTGTTTCATTAATGTTTCTTTCTGTTTATTAAAAGCATTTGTGTTGATTTTACTTATTCAGTTTGAATACTTTTTGAGGGGAGGCTGACATCATCACATCTATTAGGTTACAACTGGAAAGAACGAACAAACGACAAAAAAAATATGGTTTGATGTTTCTTTTCCCCCAGGCTAACACCACTCTGCATAGCGCAACATATCCAGCACATATCTGATTATTTGACACATTTTGTGTTTGCTAAGTTTGATTCAAAAGTTGAGTCACCCACTATCTCAACCACAGCATAATTCCTCACAACTGTGTGTGCGTGTGTGTGTGTGTGTGTGTGTGTGTGTGTGTGTGTGTGGATAAGTGAGTGTGAAACCTCCTTCAAATATGCACTGGAAAACTCGGCTCATGTTTTTCTGACACAATAAAACTCGGAACACCTAATGATGGTGAGGCTGTTCAGGTTTTATGGTGGTTGGACTATTAAGATCCTTTTCTTTGCCTTTTTTGGTCACAAATTCTTAAATGTAAATTGTAATTGTCAGTATCTTAACAAGTTTAAAATTGACACCTGATGTATAATTACATCCATTTTCAACTTTTGCACATATCCATCAACACATTTCACTAGCTTTTCCTCATTTACCATCAAAAAAGCTTCACTATGTGAACAAAGAGCAGCAGCTGGCATGCCATTCCTGGTCAGTCTTGTTTTGTTAGCCACTTATGTTGCCACAGCAGTTAGAGTATTCAGCACATGCCAAATCCTGCCAAGTAAACCTCCCAGCGCAGGCAAAATGATACAGTTTCTTTCATGGTTGAGTTGATTTGCTTACTTTATGAACATTTCCTGATTTCCTAACAGTTTCCTGTGGGTACTACAGTCAAAACTGGACAGTGGTATGATAGTCACTTAAAGGAATAGTTTGGATATTTTGAAGTGAGGCTGTATGAGGTACTTATCAATAGCCAATGTATAACATACAGTAGATGTCAGTCAGCACACCCTCAGTTTCAAGAAGCAGGCAGGAAAACTGTGTGTATGTACTGCTGTAGACAGGTAGAATATTTTAGCCACCTAAAAAAAGACCCACCTGAGAAAATCAATATCAGTTTAAGTGTACGTTATATTAGGAATATTTTCGCTGCTTTATCTTGCCATCAGATGTGGAAATGAAGCCATTATATCGCTATTTTCAAAGCCAGACTCCACTGAGAAAAACAGTGATTTAACATCGTTGAACACAGGAGCCTTTTGGTGTAAAGTTGCCTCAATAAGTTACTTTGTTTGGGTTACTGTGTGACTTTGGTGATTTAAAGGGTAAGTTAGGATTCACCAAAGCCACACATTAACACACACTAACTAACTAATCGAGGTAGCGGTTGACCAGCAGCTCCTGTGTTCAGTCAGCTAAAATTACTGTTTTGGTGAACGGAGTCTGGTGGTTTTCACGAGAGCATACATTGGGAACTAAAGCCGCTTCCCTGTCGGATTGGGCTATCTGACAGGAAGGTCAAGCAATGAAAATACCCTTAATATAGTGTACACTTAAACTGTTACAGATTTCTTTAGGTGGCTAAAATGCATTTTGCTGCTGCCCCCGTCCACAGCAGTGCATTGCTTAGCTTCCTTGTCTCTTCCAAGTAATCCTGCCTCTCCTCCAGACATCTACTGTAGACATGGTCAGTACCCCATACAATCCCACTTCAAAAAATCCAAGCTCTCTTTTTCAATGGTAATCCAATACAAACAAACACAATAGACTTAAACCAATTTTAATGACCATTTTGTTGTTAAACAAAATGGCATGCAGGGGAAGGAGACCTATCCAGAATATTAAAAAGGTAAGATTGTAGCCAAATACAATGGAAAATAATGGACAATCCTTTAAAAAGTTAAACAACAGGAACCAATTAATTAATAATTTAAGATTATCCAAAATTATCCATTCCATGCTTTTATTCATTTACGTATATCCTCTAAAAATGTCTATTTTTATTTGATTGCGAACATAAATAATCTTCTGTCTTTGTTAAGCCCATTGGTCAACATTTGTTATTTTTAAATGTGCTCTATAAACACTGACTTGACATGATTATCTGTATTTAGGTCAGCCAATTCCTGTAAATAAACAGGAGGCTAGTATCAACTCTAAAACCTCGATCACAGCAACAGATGAGCTTTTCAAACATCACAAAATATATAGTTACATAGTGTGGCAGAAATAAATGGGCTGTTAAACAGCTTAAATAAAAGCTGTGATGAGCTCATCTAAATAAGAAACTAGCTGTCAGTATTTGGGGGGACACCATAAGGTTTCTTGTGCTAGAGGAGGCTGGCAGAGGCCTGGCATAGCAGGTATATAATGACAAACACGGAGAAACATTAACCACGGTGACGTCACCGGTTGGCAAGGTGGAAACCAGATGATGCATTTGATGACAGTTTAGTGCAGACTGTAGCGTGACAGAGGCCTCATGAGAATCTTTGTCATTAGTGAGAGCATTTAGCCACAAGACACATTGCCATAAAAGTCATGCTGCGTCTCACGAACCTTCTCTTCATTCTTAAGACTTCAAAGTCAGTCCCATGCTCTATCCAGCAGACTTCAACTCTCCTTTTCTGTCCTGTCAATTCTCAGTCAGCCTCACAGCCTTTTCTGTCAAGCAGCGCATACAAATGCGAGTGAGGATGGGATGTCAGTCAGGGGAAAGGGGCCAACTTAGGAAAACAAAGAGCTGCACACTCAATATAAAGATTACATGGATTTATATAAGTATAGTGATGATGCTTTTTTATGATTCTCACAAAAGGGAAAAATGCATGCCGTCAAAGCTCATTACACCATGGTGAGGCTGAAGTGTTCACACCAAACAGTGGCCATAGATTCAACTTTGAAAAGGCACACACCACAACATCTTTACACAAACAACAAATCACAAAAATGTAAGTAAATCTGCAGGAGTGAACATTAGGTGAACAACCCCTAAGAGATAGTTATGCTTCTTTTCTCTCAGATTCCTCTAGGGTCGCTGAAGAAGCCCGGCCCAACAAGGATTCCCAAGACCAAAGGATTAACTCATAGAAGAGGCAACAGAGCTCCCAGTACAGGACAGAAAAATGTTAAATCCACCTCAGAGAATACAGAGAAAACATTGACCTGAGAATGACCAACAGACCTGCAACTGCAATTTGTGTGGTGTTTAACACCACTTTAACACCACTTTCATAATAAAACATATCCAAAGTACATTAAAGAACTGCGATTTAAATGTAGACATCTGGGCAGCAACATGGTCAGTTTATATTCAGTGGTCACTTGAATATAAACTATACATCTATCGAGAATTTGTCACCACAGAGTCAAAAAACTGCTTCACTGCATGTCAAAAATGTACTGACTGTAGTAAAAATAGCCAACACTTGATTCCTTATCTTAAATGATGTGTTACAAATGAGTAAAGAAAGTGATGCCACATGCTGCAATGAAAAATCTGTCAATCTGCTCATCTGTAAAGGTAAAAAGCAAGATGGTACACCATACTTTCAACAGGTAATGTGTTTTTGTTTTTTGTCCCCCACACAACAAACACCACCTTACCTTACTATCATAAAAACTGAAAACTTAAGGGAACAGTTAAGTGTTCCTCCTTCCAATTTGATTGAAGACTGGAGGAAAAGCAGAGTATAATTCAGGCCTGCATAACATTATTATATATTATATATTATTATGTTTGCTCTATCATATTCTATTAATTTACCATAAAGTGTGAATTTGTATCACTTTCCTCTTTTGCATAAAAGTGCACAAATAACGAGCTTGGTGAGTGTGCATGTGTGTTTGTGCCAGTAGTGGAAGAAGTATTTTTTTTTATTTGAGCAAAAATACTCTATTACAAGTATAAGTCCTGCTTTTTAATTTCTACCTCCATAAAAGTATTAGCAACAAAACCTACTTAGAGTATCAAGAGTAAAAGTACTCATTAGGCAGCAAGATGGCCCCTGTCATATCATTTACTGTACAATCTGAATATTATCACTGTGACATTTCCATTTATGTTGTAGCTAATGGAGGTGGAGCTAATTTTAATTAATGTACTTTACTTATGTTACTAAGGGTAGGGGAAGAAATCGTTACAGCATAGTATTGTGATATTTTTGTGTGGCTACATCGAATTGTCACACAGTGCCAAGTATTGTTTTTTTATTATGTAAATTATTGTTATTACAAATACAAATTAAACTTAAGGTATCCTACTAGTATGATATAATCCAAGTGCTTTTTCTGTCCACTTGATACAGTTTGCTGCAAAAAAATGGGGTGAGATGAACAGATGTTTTCCTTTTGGGACATAATTTACAGTTGAAAAAAGGTAATAAATAGATCTATATCACAATATATTTTATTGCAATACTCAGCATATTGCAACATATTTAAAATGGCAATAATATTGTATCGTGATAATATCATAACGTGGATCTGATTTCCAACCAAAAATCAACTAAAGCAGTCAAATAAATAGTGTGAAATAAAAAGGACATTTTCCTGTGAAATATAGTGGAGTAAAGAAGAATAAAGTAAAGTTTAAAATCTAGGTACTCAAGAAAAATACATCAAAGTGGGGAACAGAGATCTTTTAAATTAACGTTTTATTGTTATACCTCCTGAAAATACCCCTTGTATCATTCTGCAGGGCACCGCATCAACACTGCTGTCTAAAGCAATCAGGTCAATAATCCTTAAGGTACAGGACTGCCCTCTATTGGTATGCAGGGTGCATGGAGCTATGAGGGTAAGCCGCAGGGAGCTTCCTCTGTTGATGTATTAAGATGAGGATAAAATAGAAATGCAAAAAGTCATGTAACTTACAGAGACGATCTAACTGTAAGCTTCAGAGGAAGGCGCAGGACATGACAAGACACACTGTTACAGCAACAGTAACTTTACTGTAGTTATTTACTGTCATGAGCCACACACACACATACACGTGTTTACACATCTTATGCTCCTAACAACTCGCGCTAACAACGCTAGCTTTCCCTCTGCTAACAAACTCCAGCTAAGCTACACGGTAGGTCACTACACTCGTCGCTATGGTAACTGACACCAACGGTTCATAGAATGTAGCTTAAGTTAACAGCAACTTTACCACCGGCTAGCTAACGTTAGCATACAGTTAGCAACAGACTTTTCCTGTGACATCTACAAGCTAACGTTAAGATCTCACGGATCAGGGTACACCAAAACCTCCCGGACCATACGTTTAAGAAACACTTAACAAAATAAAGTTACTAAAGTCAAGAAACATACCTGATTTACCCTCGTGCGCCCACCACTCGTCACCCAAGTCGTCTCCCATGTTCCTCAGCTAAGCTAGCAGCCCGTCCAATCAAATCTACCGCTGGTAGAGGAGGGGTGTGTTCAAGAGCAGCACGTTTTAAAACGTAAAGTGTGTGGCTTAAAACGCTAAGGGGACACTGTGAAAGTTAAACGGAGAGACTCGTTATCACCACAACATAAGTTAAACACTAGTTACGGTAGATATATGTTGGGTTTGTCCATGGAAAACTTCATAACAACATGCCTGACTTTCTTGGTAAGTAACACCACCTTTTCGAATTAGGGCACTGACTGTGTCTTCTGTCTACATTTGCCTTCCTGTACAAATCATCTGTCACTGTTAATGTAAATCCTGCATGCTGTACAGTATATTAACATGTATGTAAGCACATATTGTACATATTCACACTGAAGCCCATAAGGGGGGCACTGGCCACTTTATTAGGTACACCTATTCAGCTGCTTGTTAATGCAAAAGCTAATCAGCCAATCACGTGGCAGCAACTCAATGCATTTAGGCATGTAGACAAGGTCAAGATGACCTGCTGAAGTTCAAACCGAGCATCAGAATGAGGAAGAAAGGTGATTAAATGACTTTGAACGTGGCATGGTTGTTGGTGCCAGACGGGCTGGTCTGTCAGAAACTGCTGATCTACTGGGATTTTCACACACAACCATCTCTAGGGTTTACAGAGGATGGTCCCAAAAAGAGATTATACCCAGTGAGCAGCAGTTCTCTGGGTGAAAATGCCTTGTTGATGCCAAAGGTCAGAGGAGAATGGCCAGACTGGTTCAAGATGATAGAAAGGCAACAGTAACTCAAATAACCACTGCTTACAACAAAGGTCTGCAGAAGACCATCTCTGAACCAACAACACGTCCATTCTTGAAGCAGATGGGCTACAGCAGCAGAAGACCACACCAGGTGCCACTCCTGTCAGCTAACAGCAGGAAACTGAGGCTACAGTTCACACAGGCTCACCAAAACTGGACAATAGAAGATTGGAAAAACGTTACCTGGTCTGATGAGTCTGGATTTCTGCTGCCACATTCAGATGGTAGGGTCAGAATTTGGTGTAAACAACATGAAAGCATGGATCCATCCTGCCTTGTATCAACGGTTCAGGCTGGTGGTGGTGGTGTAATGGTGTGGGGGATATTTTCTTGGCACACTTTGGGCCCCTTAGTACCAACTGAGCATGGTTTAAACACCACAGCCTACCTGAGTATTGTTGCTGACCGTGTCCATCCCTTTATGACCACAGTGTACCCATCTTCTGATGGCTACTTCCAGCAGGATAACGCACCATGTCACAAAGCTCAAATCATCTCAAACTGGTATCTTGAACATGACAGTGAGTTCACTGTACTCCAGTGGCCTCCATAGTCACCAGATCTCAATCCAATAGAGCACCTTTGGGATGTGTTGGAATGGGAGATTTAACACCAGTTCTTTCACATACTTGTGCTCACCGCCCTGTCTGTATCTAATCCTTATTTGTCCAGCTTTGTTGCCTTGTTTCCTACTGTTATGTCTATTTATGTGTAAGCACATTAAGAGCAATGCTGGCTCAGATGGCTCAGACTCACACAGTTACAGTGCTGCTAATGCAGTAGGTCTCTTTTTATCTTCATAATAAGATGAGCAAGCGAAATAACCCCAAATTGGACTTATGGTGTCAAAGCTGCTACATGGTTGCTTGGGAAAAACTCAACTCTGTATTTTTTAATAGCAAAAAGAAAGCTGACTGCCTTGGCAACAGTCTTTCTGAATAAGTTATGACAAAACATGTCAATTTAGTAAAAATAGGGCAGTTCTACTGTTGACTGGGTACCTGGTTATAAAGATAATATATCTATAATCTGTTTGGAGTGCAGACACATGATTGCAAAAAAAAGTCAAAAGACTTACTGAGGCTTAGGCACACAAATGAACAAAAGCTTACACAAAGCAATAGATAGAGACTGTAAAATAACCAGCAGATAGGGAGACAGTGTCTGAGCTCAGTGTTCCGTCTCTGCACACAGAGCAGAAAATAAACTTATACAGAGGCAGGCGCTGCATGTATTGTTTAGTGCACTCACAGCTTTGCTCTGTGTGCTTATGTTTTGCTGCTCACAATTTTTGTAATCTACTACAAGTAACCATTGTCTTTATTGCTTTACCAACTGGGTCAGTTAGAAGCTCGACTTAATTCATGTGGAAAGTAATGAGGACGTGTGTAGGAGAGGGCAATTTATGTTTGAGACCACTGATGCAGTTTGATATCGTCAAATAGCACATGTTGCAATATTTTCCCTTTTGCCAGTATAGCTGCCTCGCAGTCAGAATCAGACACTTTATTAATCCCGGGGTGGAAACTGTGATACATTACAGTCCCTCTGATGTAAAGCACAGAGCATTATAAGAAAGTACAGTGGTATGTGAAGTTTTACAAATATAAAAATATATGCACTATGATACATTGTACAATCTGTGCATCATATGTTAGAGAGTAGGAATAAATTTGGACACTGAAAATAATGCACAGTTGAATAATTGCAGCAGTTGACTTTTTGCACCAATTACTGTAGAGTTAGGACAGTGTTGCACAGAATTACTGACCTTTAAAGGTCCAGTGTGGAGGATTAAGGGGGATATATTGGCAAAAATGGAATACAATAATAAGTATGTTTTCTTTAGTGTATAACCACATGATAATAAGAATTGTTGCAATTTTCTTCCAAATCAGGGACTAATTTTGTTATAAAGTTGCATAATTGTCTAGAGTTGGTTTGTGTTCTCACGGCAGCATTTACAAGCAGACCAGATCAAATGCCTTGTGTGAGAAAGCTGCTCTTGATTGGTCAGAATTTCCATGCAGGAAAAATCCAGGAAGTAAACACAACATTGAAGAAGAGTACACTTGTAAGATAAATGTGACAATTTCTAATGTCACAATGGAGGGACAACTACGCAGGTTGATTTTAGCGCTGCTCATCGTGGACTATATTGCTGTCATTGTTCACTTTAGTCAAACCATACAGTTTGAAAACGAGGCGCGGCTCCAACTAGAAAACAATGTTTTGATGCATTGAATGTGCTGAATGTGCATATTAAGGCAGTACAGGAGGAGGTGCACATTAATAATCCTCCAGGACTGTAACATGCTCATGTTTAACCCAAACAATGTGTCATGTGACTGCAGTTGGTTCAGATCCAGGTCGGAACACGTTCTCACCACAAACGAACCGCACCACCTCTTCAAGAAGGTCTCAGTCTGGTTCTTTTGGTGCACACCTGAGTGTGATCGCTGTGTTCACACCTGCCCAAACGAACCACACTTAGGGGGCAAATGAACTTGAGTTTGACTGAACCAAACCAAACAGGGCATGTGAGTTCACCATGTTGCATTGCCATGTTTCTACAGTAGCCCAGAACAGACAAACCAGACACTGAGTCTAGATAGGGCCATTTGCATTTTTGCAATTTCTCTTTCTTTTATATTTTTGTGCCAGCCACTACAGTCAGAAGCCCATTTGCCTTCATTGGATAATGGAGGCAAAGGGGCTTACCGGTTTAAATCATCAGTTTTTTGTTGTTGTTTTTTTGAAAGGAAGAGACCTCTGCTGATAATTTGGCTCCTCATAAAAACCTGATGAATATCTGGATCAGAAATAAGGTGAGCACACAATCAGTTATCAGAGAAAACAGGCGAGCACACATTAGCAGGTGCTAGGTTAGCAGCCCGTCTCTGACATGCCAAACAGCGTAGGACAAACACTCATTTTTTAACATGAAACTGCTTTATTCAGGTTTCTCACTGGTTTAAATTATCAGGTCCATTTGTTTTGGAGAGGAAGAGACCTAATAATTGGGCTCTCGATATGGACCTACTGAACAATGAACACTGAAGAAATTCTAAGAGGGAGAACTTTCTGCAGTCCTCACTGTTAGATGCCACTAAATCTCCCTAAATCTAACACACTGTTCCTTTAAGTCACCATTGCACAGTCGAAAATATAATAAATAAATTATGGACTGCTGACGGGTGAATTAAGTCCAAGGCCACTATTGACTCACACTGTCTGACAGTCTGAGGGTGGAGTTGAAAAGTTTGATGGCCACAGGCAGGAATGATTTCCTGTGTACCCCTGTGTTTAACCAGCACATCACGGAGTGGGTGGGAGACATTGTCCAAGATGACGCGTAACTTAAAGAGCATCCTCCTCGTGACACTGCCATCATTGAGTGCAGCTTCACCCCCACAACTTTCCTGGCCTTTTGCATCAGTTTGTTGAGTCTGCTGACATCTGCTCCCCTCAACCTGCTGCCACAGCACACAACAGCAAACAGGATGGCACCGGCCTCCACTGACTCATAAAACATCCTCAATGACATTACAGCAGGCCTCATGGAAGTTGTGATTTACGAACAAATCAAATCCACAATTTTTTCTTATTTTGTTAGTACCCGTTGACTTCTGTGATCCACCGATCTTTTCTTATTTTTGCTCTTCTTTTAGGTAACAGAAAAATATCAGGAGTTGTCGAGAGGCCTTTCACCAGCATAAGAGGAAAACATCTTGTCTCCCCAGTCTACAAATTGTTTGTCCAACGTGAGGAAACACAAGTTTTAAATCTGCAGAACATAAAAATGCACGGCTATCATATAATGTAAATAAGAAAATTATGTTTTAGTGAAATCATAATTGGATTATTACATTTGGGTACAGACGACCCCGGCCCAAGGCCAAGGAGGGGCCCATGAGAAGGTCTATGGTTGATCCTTAACAGGGATCAAGTACAACAATTTACTTACTGACTTAAATCACTGACAAGTTATATGTATTTACATGATAAATAAATGTAATTTTATCTTAAAAAAATACTTTAATGTGCCATCTGATCCTCCCTCCCCCCACAAGTATTGTGAAATGGTTCAGTCCATCTAACAATGGGCGTCAGGTGTGTGATGTGCACAAGTGCCGCTGATGTAAACGTGAGATAGACTGCTGCCTGACCAGCTAAGATAGAATGCCTCACCAAAAATCAGGAGCTCCTGAAAG